CCCCAAAACCCCAAAACCCCAAAACCCCATTTGAACACAATTGGAAGTATATTCTGTAATTAAAATATTGCTATAAAATTTATTAATATCTTGCAATAGGCAGAGTAGTCACTTAAGTGTTATTTGTTAAATATTATTTACAAAAAATGTGTTTCAAATCATCTCTTACATAAAATTTCCCTGTTATAAATACCTATCGGTCAGTTTTAATCGAAATCGAATGTCTCATCATTATCATCAAAAGATCTTTTTATTATTTCTTATTGATGTTTGATTAAAGCCAAATGATCAAGCAAAAAGTCTTAAAATTAGCCTCTGCTAAAACTTGATTTTATCTCATCATTTTTACTATAGAGGCTTTCACCTGGTTTTTACAAGAATTTAGCAAGTGATTCTTTTTAAGTTTCTTCATAAGTCATCAAATCATTAAATCTCTTAACAACTGTCCCTCGCTCTGAGGAATGCCTATTTAAGCTTGAAGCTCGAAAATTATGAAAAATTTCTAATATTTGCTGTGTGTCATAATTTGGTCTACTCAAATTATCATTTTTAGCAAAGCTAAAAGTCATTGATTTTATTTTTGAATGATAACCCTATCTGTAAAATAGATACATCAGAGTCATAGAATTCATGAAATTTATAAGACAGAAGAAAATGAATCTGTGCACCTCTATAATAGATGATACCAATGGAGAGTCATCGAGAATGAACCATTAATTGATGAATCGGCAAATGATATCGAAAACATTAATAAAGTAAAGAAATTTTGTCCAATGTATCAACATTTTTTATCGGTAGGAAAAATCTTGATTACCCATAAACTTATTTATCTCTTTTTTTCTTTTCATTACATAAGTGAACTATCGTGATAACATTATTATAACTATCATATCACAAATAGCCTGAACCAGGGTTGTTATTATTAACAATATTTGACTGAGCGACAACAAATCATCACTTTCATTAAAAATGAATCTTCTAATATAGAATATAATTGTCCCACAAAACATGGCTATTACTAAAATTACAATAGTGTATTTTATTTTATTAGTCCGCTTCTGCAATTTCATGAACTGTTGATAGTCGTCAGCAATAAACTTATTATACACCTCTTACATTTCAAAAACAAGGTAGTAAATTGCTATCTAAACAATAAAAGTCGCAACCTTATCAGGAATAATGACATTGTCAATTATACTATCTCCATCATCCAGGAATTTATTTATGTCTTTATTATATTTTTTTAGAAAGAAGCATGCAACCCAGTTGCCTAATTACATAGTAAAGCTTATAAAATATGCAAGCATCGTGATTAAAGCAAGTCTATCTATGAAATATTTCAACTTGAGCACCACATAAATCATGCAGGGAGAGTAGATCAAGAATATTAGAACATTGACAGAAAAATACATAAAAAAGAAGCTCTCTTTACTCATTTTCAACTAATTTAGATATTATATAAATCAAAACACTTCCTAAACTTTGAATACTCCCATTCACGGGGTTTTGGGGTTTTGGGGTTTTGGGG